GATAGATAGATAGATAGATAGATAGATAGATAGATAGATAGATAGATAGATAGATAGATAGATAGATAGATAGATAGATAGATACATAGATACATAGATACATAGATACATAGATACATAGATAGATCGATCATTTATTTGTTTTCAGGAATGTGAGGGGGAAGTGGAATGCTTGGTTTCTGTGGCTGCTGATTCAGGTACAGATCTGGGCTGGGCATATTGGAGCTGAATCAGCAGGGTTTCACTCCCCTGCAGCTTTCTGTTTGAGCTCTGGTCACATGATGAGGGAAGGAAAAGGCACTCTGCAGTACCAGTGCAGACTGAGAGCAAACGAAGTGCAAGAGAAAGTTAAAAAAAAAAAAACCTGAAAGAAAGTAGTATAGAAAAGTAGGAGAGTGTCCGAGCAGCTGAGTCTCAAACAGAGCCAGGGGCTGTTGTGCAGAGTATTAAATCTATGCCTTTATGAGCACAGATTGAGACCCCCTGCAGCAATGCACTGCAAAGAGGGCAATCTGACATCTGCAGCACAATCTGTTACACTTTTAGACTCGTGTGAACATTGAAGAGGTCTTCCTGTAAAGCTGCTTTGTTTTTGGTGATGCATTTGTGCTGTGTTGTTTCTCCTCAGGGCGGGGAGCACTGCTACTACCACGGCCAGGTGAGGGGGAGCAGTCACTCCCATGTGGCCTTATCTACCTGCAATGGTTTGCAGTAAGTGAACAGCACATTTGTGTGCTAAGAATACCTCATATACTTCAGTACGCTTTCCTCTCTCCTGGTTATCGACCAGCCTCTCTTTGACTTTTTTCCTCTCTCTCTCTCTGTCTCTATCTCCTCTGGCAGCGGGATGTTTGACGATGGAATCCATGCGTATCTAATTGAGCCCTTACACCAGGCCCATTTAATTGTAAGTTAATGCATCTGCAGATTGTCAAAATATATCAGAGGTGTCTCTTGTCATACCTCTAAAATACACAGACATTACTCTTTGAAGTTTTTAATATTTAAACTCGGGACATTGCAGTGCAGAAGAAGATCTAGATATGTGATGAATATGAAGGATGCTTAGTGAAAAACTAATAATGGTATCAAATCTATAGAAATCCACAGGTTTTACACGGTGGCATGTTTTAACTGCGCCAAGAAGATTATGTTTTCATCGCCATTGGGTTGTCTGTCTCTTTGTGTCTTTTAAAAATAACTTTAAAAGTTATGCACGGATTTTGCTAAAAACTGTTGTTTTGTGAGTTGCAATAAATCATAACATTTTGGTGATGATCCACATCACCATCTGAATCCAGGATTTTGATACACTTATAAACTTAAGATTGAAAGTCACAACATGTCAAAGAAAATTAGCCACTAGGCACTTTAATGTAATTAAAAGACCAAAAATGTTTAAGAAATATGTCCCAAAATACAGCATGTAGGACACAGACAGAAAAAAAGAATAATAAGAATTCTTGAACATATTAAAAAGTATAAAACTCTCTGAGAAAAAAATAAAATAACAGCAAAAAGTATTGAATGTTAAACTCCCTTAAAATGTGAACAGAAAAAAAAAAATCCTCTGGCTAATTAATCAGAGATGTTCTTCTCCTTCTCTATTTTACGTTGTGGACCTTTGACATTTTGCTGTTGTTGTTAGTTTCCCAACATCCGTTTTCCTTTAACTTTGAAGGTGTTTTGAAAACAATGTCACCTCCTTCCTTTTGGTTCCTCCTGACTTTTCCTGCCTTTGCTTCCATCCTGCAGGATTCAGCTGCAAGACCTCACAAAATAAAGAGAGCAGCCTCAATTCTATCCGACCATGGTTCAGAAGAGCTGGGTAAAGTAGACATTTGTCATCTCACATAGCTTGCCCATCAGCCCTCCACCCATAACCAGCACCACACCCTCCACCCTGACTGTTGCTTAGCGCAGTGAAGAAAGATGAGAAATGCTTCTTCTGGGAAAGCACCCCCTTAAAAGCCCAACCCCGCTGGCCAGAATAAACAACTCAAGCCTACATGGTTACAAATATTTCACATGTTTACGATGGGCTGTAACTGTTTGCTTGTGTGCTTGCAGTGGATGAAGATGAGGAGGAGGAGGATCTCTTTTCGGAGCTAAATGAATTATCCTGGCTGAGGCGCAGAAAAAAACGAGCAGTGAGTCTCTCTGAAGGGATGCAACCCTTTTAGACGGCCGTCTCTGGTGTTTACAGTCATGAATTTAAATTAGCCTCTGCACGGTTAAACATGCGGTGGCAAACCACCTCAGATTATATGTTTTCATTTGCCTTGTAATTGTTTGTTTTGTTTTGCAGATGCCTCGTAACATCTTTGAGGAGATGAAGTATTTGGAAATCATGATTGTCAGTGACCACAGTATGGTATGAGGTTTTACTGAAAGCTTTTGTGTAAATTCAATGCTTTGGCTTCTCCCTTTTTTTTTTTTTGTTGCTCGTAAACTTCTATTGCACAATAAAAGACACAAGTTTAGTCTTTTAAAGCTATATTATGTCATAAATTCCTTTAACCTCCATGTTCTAGTCTTTATGCTTAAATATTACATTCTTATGTTGGAGGTTGGAAATCCTCTGTTTGAGGCTGGACCTGCTTTTGTAGATTTCATAGATGTGTTATCTTCTCTACTTTCCTAAACTAGAAAATCTTGACTTATATAATTATAAATTTTCATGTTAGAAGAAGAGAAATAGAAAGAAAATGAACCATCTGAAACGAAGCAGCGGACACTCAAACCATGTGAAACTGATGTTAGTTCTTTTAAAAGAAAACAATGTTTTGGCCTTAAGATGTAATTTCAAGCTAATTCTTCACATGTGGTGTTTGAAATGGAAATCAAAGTATGGAATCCAAAAGAGAGGAAGAACAGAGTTGCTGCTATTGCTAATTAGCATTAGTAAGTGTTCAGAAAAAGGTTTAGAGAAGCTGTTATTGATTTGATTAAGAACATTGAAGTTGTGTTGTAACACCTGAAAGTGTTAGTTTTTAGAAAAAACATGGCAAAAAAACTAATATCAGCCAAAATTTGAATCAACATGTCACTTTTTTCTAAAGAAATCACTGATCAGCTATAAAAATGCAACCAGTGCACAATATTATATGGACATAAATTATCATCAGAAAAAATGAAGCAAAAATGCATGCTTTGTGTTTAAATTTAACATTAAAGCAGCTTTATTTGATGACTTAGGGCAAAAACTTTGGGGCGTGCATGACTTACATAGATATTTATCTTTATTGTTCTAGAGTGGAAAAAAAAAGAAACATGACTTACATAGATATTTATCTTTATTGTTCTAGAGTGGAAAAAAAAAGAAAGCAAAAAACTTAATAAAAACACACAGCTACACACACAAAACCGGATAGTATAGGAAAAAAAACAAAAATAAAACCATTTAAAATAGACTTTGTAGTAAAGGGGGAAAAACACATTATTGTTATTAAAAAAAACTCAGATTAAATGAAAAATGTTCAAGAGAATAAAACACTAGTCTATGTAAAGGAAAAAGAAAGAACTATGTCAATAAGATAATCAGAGAAAATAGTCACAGAGCAGATGATGAAATTGTGCAAATAAAGGCTCTGATGTACAAAAACACTTTCTGAACTGATAAAAATGGAAAATGCTTGGGCAAATGCCTTCATGCATAAAAAAAACTAACAAAAAAACAAAGCAAATTCCCATTTGCGGGGCACAGTGGTGTTAATATCACCTACGTTGCACATTGACTCGATGGAACCATTTTGAAACAAGACCATCAAATACTTAAGCAATCATTGGAAGATAAAATTAAGTTTTTAGTACTCGTCATCCTCCGATTATCTGGAACGGAGTCAGTGTCTGCGTTACAGCGGCAGCCACACCAATCTCCATCCCCCTTCACATGTGAACAGGACTCCAAATACTTGAACTCCTCCATCTATGGCTGAAACGTTTCTCTAACCAGAAGGGGACAAGTCACCTTTTTTCCAGTCAAGAACCATGACCTCCAACTTTGAGGAGCTGATTTTCATCCTGGCCGCTTCACATATAGAAATCCTGTCCATATGGGTATGAACAAGACCGTTGACAGAAAGCAGCCCTGCTGGAGTCCAACATGCCCTGGAAACAGGTCCAACTTTATACCGGTGTTTTGTGAGATCAGCATACCCCATCAGACCGGCATACCCATAGTCATTTTATCGCTTAGTTTATCGTTTTAGTTTAACTTCATTTATCCCTTTAGTTTTATACAAATAATACTCTTTAAACTACCTCGACGGGCGTGTATCCCTTTAATCATGTACAAAAAACACTTACTTACTTTTTGGCATTTTTGAAGCATATGGCAATCTGACTTTAAATTGTTTCTTTTGTCCATGACTAAAGGGATACAGGCCCGTTGAGGTAGTTTAAGTTTATTTTTCGTATACAACTAAAGAGATAAACGGGACTAGAATTCGTGAATGCAAATCTGACGTCTTGTGCATGCGTATTGAGTATGCTGGTCTGATGGGGTATGCTGAGCTGACAGAACACTGGCTCCTGCTGGATAGCCCCTAGTAAAGACCCCCTGCCTGCTCTATTGGAGCACCACCCATAGTGCTACTTGAGGGCCATAGTCTAATAGGACTAAAAGTACCGTAGATGTTAAATTGCAGCTTTAAAGTTTCAGGCCTCTACATCTGTTTTTTGTCTACTTTTTTATTATTGGCAAACCCAATTAAGAAAGCAAATTCAACTGAACTTAAGATTTTATGGTTTAAAATGGCCTTTTGTAGGGTTTGTTTATTCTTCATACATATTGTTGGACGTAGCACTCTTTGTTAAGGGGCCCCAAAGACTGAGCAACGGGAGGAAGAGATAATGACCAATTTGTACTGGAGCCACTCAAGGTCAGATTCAAGATGGCTGCCCCATATTGGCTTGTGTTACTAATGGCGGTTAGCTTTACAACTGTTGGTAGATCCATATGGTGTTGCAACCTCTAACTATAATCATTGCAATGCGTATAGGTGAAAAATAATCCAGCTTTAAAAAGCTCTAAGGTTACAGTGCAGGAAACATTTAATTCAATTAAAAAACAAATTAAAATAAACGCAATGACATTTTTAGAGTGCATTCAAAGCTCGTAAATAAATAAAACTTGTAATAAATCAGCCTCTTCCCCATCCCGCTGACATTTCACATGCTTTAAAACAAAGCAGTAATCCTTATTGACCTGAGACAGGAAATGTTCATGAGGATTAAATGTCAGGAAATGCCCTGCATCCCTTCATTAATATTTCAAGCTGTGTTTTTTGTCCCCCACAAGGGGGAGCGTTGTCTCTCAAACCATGTGTCCCACTGTCTCTGGACCCCAATGTCTCTGTTTTTCTGTCTCTGCAGTATAAAAGACACAAAAACAGGCAGCACACAAGAAATTTCGCAAAATCAGTGGTGAATCTTGTTGATGGTGTAAGTACGTTTTTTAGTTACTGTGTCACAAATATATTGCATCGAATTTGGAGCTTTGATCACAGCCAAGATTATGTTTTATCAACATTTTCTCCCCTCCTCTCAATGTGATACATCCAATCTCACCCCTGCTGTTGTTTCTCTTCTCTCTCCCTCTGTCTCTCTTTCTTTTTTGCTTCCATTCATGCCACACTTCAATGACAGATCTTCAAAGACCAGCTACACACTCGTGTGGTGCTTGTTGCTTTGGAGATCTGGACGGACAAGGATCAGATCCCCATAGGTGTGATGCCGCTGGAAATCCTGAGAGATTTTTCCAAGTATCGCCAGCAGAGCATCAAGCTACACGCTGATTCTGTCCAGCTCCTCTCGTAAGATTTTACCGACACTGAACTGAATGGGTTTCCTTTTTTTATTGTAATTTGCTTTGCTAATAGAGCAGACGGAAGCTATCCATGTAAAGTTTTATCTCACGTTTTTTCTTTTTTGCCATCAATCCTTCTTGCAGAAATGTGACCTTCCACTACAGAAGGAGCAATGCTGCATACTTTGGTGGCATGTGCTCCGTGAGCCGTGGAGTGGGAGTCAACGAGGTCAGAATCACCCTAACATGGCCACTGACACTGCATCATCTCCATTCACCGCTTTGCAAAAAGAATCCATACCCTTTAAACTCTTTTATAAACTGGATTTTGCTGAGAATTTAAAGAAGTCCCATAAATAGTCCCATAAATAGCCACAGTAGAATTAGCACCATATACGGTACTGAAAATGAGCAATAAATAATTCAGCACAGGCTCAAATGTAATAAACGTTCAGATAAATTCAGATGGTTATTTCAATGTTGGTTTGATTGATGCAAACATTTCTTCTTAGTAAGTAAACAGCTGCAAAGTCCTCCTTGAGTCGTACTGTATGAAGCACATTGTGGTATGACCTTAATTTTGATTCAGACCTTAACTTGACCGTTCTAGCTTATGAATATCCTTTCTAAACCTAGGGAGCCCAACTCCTGTACTCGGGAGACTTAATCAACACTTCTAACACACTAGAATTTAATGTTCTCAATTGCTTTATCCTAAGTCATTTAGCTCTGCAGGGGCCTGGTAAGGAGAGTTTTGTTTAATTCAGGTGTACTGATGAAGGGATGCATGTTAAAGTTGCAGCATAGGAGCTTATTAATACTAGAGTCGAGGACAGCTGCTCTAAACAGACCCATTGTCTTTCTGGTTGTCATTTGAGTAGTGGGAGATAAAACCTTTGGGATATTTTAAAGTTTTTTGCATCCCCTAAATGGTTTTCCTTTCTAGAATACTCTATATTTAGCTTTCCTGGTCCTGTAGAATAAAAGTATCACCACAGCATACCACTGCAGATTACAGATTTTTATTTCTAAAACACCATAACACATCCATTAGTTTCTTTCCTCCTTACAAATACATGCTACCTTGTTTTGTTCCATGAATAACATGTTGTATATGATGCTACCTCCACAGTATGGCACCACCTGGGCCATGGTCGTGTCTCTGTCTCAGAGCCTGGCACAGAACCTGGGCATCCAGTGGGACCCTGCATCCAAGAGAAGTATACATGAAACACATTTTGTTTATTTACCACATGTATAACTGAGGTACGAACGACAGGCTTAGGAGAACAGACTTTCTCTTCTGCATTTAATGTGTAAACTACTAGATGTTGGCCATTTAGGTTCTCAGTCCCCAGTAAATGTTGGATAAGAGGGCAGTCGGACATCTCTACGCTTCTGCAGATGTTTCCTCTCCTTTGAGAAGCCTGCCGGGTTAAATTCTCATCTGCCACATACCTGTACAAACCTTTAAAGCGTTGCCATCCCTCCTAGGTCCCTTCATCTTCCTTTTCTCTAATTTCCTGCAAAGAATGAGGAGGATTATTTATTATTCATGCTATTTTACCAGCAATACGGTTTATCAGTCAGCATTGTAAAAACGTTTTCTACAATGTAGAAGCCTCATGGCATACAAAAGCACTGCTGTTTTCCTGTTTTTTGTAGCCATTATAGTTTAAGTTTTTTTCAGTTTATATATACGGTTCATTTGTTTGTAAAAGACAATGTATAAACTACTCTATTATTGGTATAATACAGCTTTAAATTGTAAGATGCAAAAAAGGAAAGACAGAATTACATCGATGATTTAAAAATCCCTCAGCTGGAAATCTCTTTTTACCTGGAGCCAGAGGACAAACGCTTCTTTATGGTCTGACAAATCTGCAAGCGATTGTATAAAAATTCACTATGGTGCAAAACAAAACAAAACTCAAAACAAAAAAACTGCTTAGATGTTGTAAAAATTGAACTTGGGAAGCCGAATGTCTTGGGTATCTAAACCTCTCTTTTGTGATGTTTCTATTCCAATAAAATATTGTTCTGCTTTTTAGAAGACTGCGGATGTGCAGGCTCATGGAGCGGCTGCATAATGGAGGACACTGGGTAATCTCCAACACACACACTCACACACACACAGCCTTTGTTTTAATGACTTTCCCAGACATTTCATTGACATACCTAAAAATCATATAAAACCCTGACAGACCCTAACCCTAACTATTTACAACATATACCTAACCTCAACTCAAAGAAGAAAACTTTACCATTTGGAGACCCGTTGAATGTCCCCATTTTGACCACTTTAGACCTGTAGGTCCTCACAATGGGGGATATTTCACAATACACTTCCCCTAATTGTAGCTCAAACAAACACACAGACATCCAAAAGAAAGAGGAGGATGAAACCATAGCAGTTTCATTACGCATGTGCACTCAGGGATGCAGTAATCCAAAGTCTTGTGATCTGTTGGGGTTTTCAGCTTTTAAATTTCAATAGACTTTGTAAATTGGAGTGTTTTAAGTTTAGAATCTAGCATAAAATCCTTAGATTGTTTGTTTAGTTCTAAACAAAGCAATGTTTACTTACCATAAGTAAGTACCTAACATTGTTCAATTTTCCTGATGTTTCTTTTTCCTCTTTTTTTATTCCAGACTTCAATCAATACTTTGTGTAAGACATAAAAAAATCTTGTCTTGCTTAATTTTAAAGTAAATAGTCATGTCCCTGTTTCGGTTTAAAGCCTCAGTAGAAAATGTATAGAAACAGGGCAGTTGCATGCGTTTGTAAACCAAATAGTCAAATGATTGCATCCATATGTGGTGATGAGAATGTAACCAAAACACGTGCAGGCAGTGGCTCAATGGTAAATAAACAGAGTGAATCTACAAGGAGCAGCATGAATGATCATTAGGCTTCACATAAACAGTTCTGCTAGTAATCAGGAAACTCGATCATTATGACAAATAAGAAGATTTATTTTCCCAGCCTTGGTGCAAAGAGAGTAAAAAAAGGAATAAAACCTAAGCAAGCTTCAAATAATAATTACTGCATGGCTTCTTTTTCCTCCAAACATACCAATAGTCTTTATTGTCAAATGATTACATTTTAGTTTCACCCAATTATGCTGTAAAAAACTAAGACCTTAGTTCCTGTTTTTTGAATTTGCCTTTGAAGAAGCATAGGTTAAATTTACCCTTAAGGATTAACCAGGCTTGTTGAAGTCCCTCTCCCCATAGCCTCCTGTTTACTTTAGATTTTCAAGGATACATTCAAACAGAATTTCCTTTTCTGTCTTATTTTAAAATAAAATATCTATAGTTTGTTTTGATATTGCGTGTTCTCAAATCAGGAGGTGTTAGTTGGATGCAGCCCCTGTTATGAATCTAACATTGGGATGCAAAACTATTCAAATAAAAGGTGAAAGGTTTGGATCCCCGTTACAATAACACACTGAAAACACATTAGTAAACTACAGGAAGCCTTTTAACTCTTTGGCTGGACTTTAGAAAATGATGAAAGTGATGATTTTTCCACCTGCAGGGTTCAACATCCACAGAGGTTCTCCAAATGCAGCATCTCTGACTACAGGGAGTTCCTTTTAAAAGGCGGAGGCTCGTGTCTATTTAACAGACCAACAAAGGTTAGCTGGAAACGCTTTCTCCTCTATCCACACTTGTCCCAGCTGCCATGCCAGCTTCATTCTGTCTCTGTTTGCTCTGGCAGCTGTTTGACGTTGCACATTGTGGAAACGGATATATAGAGGTGGGAGAAGAGTGTGACTGTGGACTAAGATCGGTAATTTTTTCTTCTTACTGCATTCCAACTTTTTAAGTTTATCTTGTTTGGTCAGAGGAGTGAGACTTTTATTTTTTTGTATTTTGATATGAGGACTGTCACAAGGGCTGCTGCAAGAAGTGTTCTCTTGCAAATGGGGCTCACTGCAGTGATGGACCTTGCTGCAATGTTACATGTCTGGTAAGATTGGTATCAAAACACCGTCTGGGTTTCATTTGACAAAAAAAATAAAAAGAATAATTTTTGTTTGCATTTTTCCAGCTTTACCCGCGTGGCTATAGCTGTCGGGAAGCTGTGAACGACTGTGACATCTCAGAGACCTGCACTGGAGACTCTGGACAGGTGTTTCCTATTTTTATTTCCTTTTAGTTTATTCATGTTTAGGTTTTAAATGTTTCTTTTTTATTGGTAAGTTGAGGAGGAGTATTAAGAAGCTGTGCTCTGTTTACGACTTTGCAGTGTCCCGCTAACCTACATAAACAAGATGGTTACATGTGTCAGGTGAACCAGGTATGAAACTGACTTTTTGTTATTTTGTGAAGCAAGAGCATGAAATTTGAAGATGCTAAATTATTTTTTCTTTTGCTGTTGAAGGGTCGTTGTTACAGTGGGGAATGCAAAACAAGAGAAAACCAGTGTAAATACATCTGGGGATCAAGTAAGACTGTGTTCATCCCTGGTGATCCTGTCGAAGGTCCACAAAAGAGACGTTTCCCATTTGTTATGTTCGCTGATTGCTCTTGATTTCAGAGGCTGGAGGTTCAGAGAAGTTCTGCTATGAGAAGCTTAACACAGAGGGGACGGAAAAAGGCAACTGTGGAAAAGATGGAGACCGATGGATCCAGTGTAGCAAGCAGTAAGTTACAAATCCTACAGCCTGTAAACTCAACTCGTAGGCAGCTTAGTAGCATCTTTCAAGTCAAAATTGAGCAATGCATTTTAATATCATTTAAAAGGAAATTTATTTCACTTTAAAAAGTATTGTCAATGGGACATTGAACCCACTATGTGGATTTATTACACACGCGGTGGGTTGAATGTCCCAATTTTAATCATTCTTACTTTCAGCTAATAAAAGCAAAAATATTTAGTTTCTAAAAAGCATAAAAATATAAAAAACAAACAAACAAGAAATTAAGTTAATGTGTGACTACACAATCATGGGGACAACTCCCCTAGTTATTGACCTCGTCCACAAAGAAAGTAATCCACAACAGGTTGCAGCGCTATATTTAACCTCATTACTGGAAAGTTAGGTGGAAGGAAAAAAAGGCTACCTAGAAGACTGTTTCCTTTATAGAACTGTGCATTTAAAAGCCAGGATTGTTCTGTCCACATGCCTCTCAATAGATCATAGTATCATCAATATTAATTCTAGAAATTCAATCCCTGTTACTGATAAACCACTGGTTCTTTCATGGGCAGCTTTTAAAGGATCCTCACCTCTAGATTAAGACCATCCACAAGATTCTCTGACATTTTTTCTTCGATATCATAAACTAACTCCTATCAAACCCATCAAGTTTATTTTGTCCACAAAATAAATCAAAATTAGCTTAAGGTGAAGTATTTCTGTAATGCTGCTGTGCTTGTTATATAATGTTTTGTTCAATTATAGTTTAACTTGATTCAATAGCAGTGGATGCTGGTATATTGTTGCCATTTTTAATCAATGACTCAAAGTTAATTTCTGTGAAATGATGCCAGGGGTATTGGGGAGTCTGATAGTAAAAATGTCTGCCTTTATGTTACAGTGATGTGTTCTGTGGTTATCTTCTGTGTACCAATGTGGGGCGAACACCACGCATCGGAATGATGAAAGGAGACTTTACTCTCACCTCCTTCAATCACCAAGGCAACGTGATACAGTGCTAGTAAACGCTCTCACTTTGTTAACGCCCCACTTTAACTAGATGCAAGAGTTTATTTTCTGACTATGTTTATTTTCTGACCCCCCACCCTCATCAGCGGTGCCCACGTCCTTTTGGACGATGACACAGATTTAGGCTACGTGGAGGATGGGACTCCCTGTGGGCCGTCGATGATGTGCCTTGACCATAAGTGTCTGCCCATCCAGTCACTCAACGTGAGCACCTGTCCCATCGGGCCTAATGGACAGGTGTGCTCTGCTCACGGGGTGAGTCTTGGCTTAATTAATTAATATTTATAGTATAAACAAGAAAATAAAATTAGTTTGTGACAGGACTGGTGTAATATTGGTGTCTTATAAGGAGACAGTTGTCCCATGTGGAAACTTCTTGAATTAAAACACCTGTGATTAAAATTTGTTTAGGTTGAGGATGTTTGAAATTTTATTTTTGAAAATGAGTTTTGAATCTATTTCAGTTTTAAATTATTGTAAATAGTATCTAGTTTTTGTAGTTTAGTTTTTGCTTTTTTTTTTTGTAGTTTCAGTTATAGTTTTAGTCTTTTATGTCATATATTTTACATACCCGGGGCAGGACTACGAAAAAAAATAAAAATGCAATGAAATCCATATAAGGACAGATCCCTGCAGCAACACAAATGACCTGACTGCTGTGCCAGCCATCTGCTGCCGTAATGCTCCACGGAGAAAAAAAAAGCGAAAACAGCACCTGGAAACCAGACCTCATATTACCGAATTATATAAAGACACGAAGGAAAACCAAACGCATTCTTTCCTAAAATTCACTTGGTTTTAATCAGTTCTATAAACTCTTATTACAGTTAATTTTAATTTTCTCGGAAGGTCTATTTTTTTATTTCAGGCCATGGAATTGTTTTTTTTTTTTTTCAGTTTGGTTAATGATAATAACATTGGTTGAGGTGGAGATGACATTGGTGACTGTAATGAAATGTTGAAATCATCAGTATACAATCATGTGGGTGTTAGGAATTCATATATAACCAACAAAAGCTGAACAAAATTTCTGTAAAAAAGACTACAAAAAGACAAAATCGGGTAAAAAAAATGATGACATCCTCCCATGCATATTCACACTCACACACAGGTATGTCATGTTTGATTCAAGTGGTGAGAGCATCATTTGTCAGCATTTTGAACTAGATTTGCTTTTTTCAAACCTCAGACATTTGGGGGTTTTAAGAGGCCTTGGAATGACTTTCTGTTCCACTCTGCAGAACATAGTCTGCAGGTGGAGGAAATTAAAAGCAACTGCAAAAACATCCTGGGCTGTCCGTCCAAGAGAAATTCTCAACTCTGCTAAAAAATACATCAATATCCCTACAATATCACATGCGACCTACAGCAGAAACTTACTGCTAATCTGTCAGTAATTTAAAAAAGTCAGGGAGATAGAGCCAAAGTCTGGAAACCTGGGTTGGTTTAATAAAAATAACATTGGAACAGTAGCATCAGATTTTTAAGGTAAAACAATATTTTGGTATAATGATGTTAAAGTCACAATCTTTTACATAGGGCTGCTCAGTGTCGCAATGGGTAGCACTGCTGCCTTGCAACAAAAAGTTTGCGGGTTTGAAACCTTAATTGGCTTCTCTAAATTCTCTTTAGGTGTGAGTGAGTGTGTGAATGGTTGTTTGTCCTGTTTGTCTCTGTGTTGCCCTGCTTAGGGTGTACCCCGCCTCTGGCCGTAGACAGCTGGAGATATGAACCAGCAACCCTTGTGACCCTCCTTGGGATAAGCGTGAAGGAAAATGGATAGAATGGAATCTTTTACATTATCTGATTGCCTGTTTTCAAAAACAGCTAAAATGTCTGCTTGTAGCTTGTTATAAAAGTGGGACGAAAATCCTTTTTTCTTTTTTTCTTTTTTCTTTTTTTTTTACCTGAAATAATTGCACTTGTTCTTATCTCTATAAAAAAGATGTAATAATTCTTTATGCAGTCAGCTGACAGTTGGTCACCTTCTTTTGTTTCTCAGAGGGACATAAAAAAATACGAAGGTCATGCAAATGATATGACAGAAAATATCAAGGTTGATTTTCAAACCAACCATGAAAGATTGGGATTATTAGAACCTGCTTTTGGTATAAATAATTATATAAATACACGAAACTAAAACATAAAACTGTCATTTTACAAAAAAGAAAAAAAAAAAAAAACAACACAAAACCATCAAACGTAGATCTATATGCATCTATCAATTATAATGAAAAAGACAGAAATCTACTTAAATCACAGAACTTTGTTAAAAATGGTGCACCTGTCATGAAATAAAACAAGCAAATATTCTCCAATTACAATTCTATTCTCCTATGCTATTCTATTCAATTCAGTTTATTTATATAGCTCCAATTCACAACACGTTATCTCAAGACACTCTACAGAGACAATTCAATCAGATCATCCAGTCAAACTGATTCAAAGTTTTCTATCTAAGGAAAACCAGTTGATTGCATCGACTCATTGACTCAAATCCAATCCCTCCCACCAAGCATGCTTGTAGCGACAGTAGAGAGGAACAACTACCTTTAAACAGGAAGAAACCTCCAGTAAAACCAGGCACATTATGGGGTTCAAGGAGACAAAAGCAGACATAGGAAAAGAAGCAGAGATACAAAAGGCAACTGTCAACCGCGTCCCCATCGAGGAAACACACAGCCAGGCAGACGAGCTCCGAACCAGCTCCCATGCCAGAGAATGAAGAGAGCACATCCAGACAGTCAGAGAAATGAGACTACACTGAAAAACAGGCCAAGCTCCAAAATCCACAAACAGATAAAGCAACTATGACAAAAAGCAGAGAGAACATAACGTTAAAGATTGAACTAACAAATTCTCCAGAATGGGAGAATAGAGGTAGAATGGAGCAGAATGATAAATAAGGGTCCCTATGTCCTCCAGCAGTGTAAGCCTGTAGCAGCATAACTACAGCGATAGCTCAGAGCCAATCTCTTACTAGCTTATATTTATCAAAAAGCAAAGTTTTAAGACTACCCTTAAAAGTAGACAGGGTGTCCGCCTCATGGACTAAATCTGGTAGTTGGTTCCAGAGGAGGGGAGCCTGATAACTAAAAGATATGCTAGATTATATTAAATGTTAGCTCTAAAAATCATCATAGAAAAAGCACCACTTATGATTCATGTCACCTTTACATTTCTACTTCTTTGTCTCATAATTGTACTAATTTGATTAGTTAAAAAAAAAAAAATCACATTAGTACAGAATGCCCTATATGTGTAAAAGAAACTGTATGTCGCACCTGAGGAGCATGTTCTTGATATTGTACAAAATAAATGGCTGCTATGAAAACTCCCCAGGCAAGATGTCTCCCAAAATAGACCTGCTGTATAAGCAGCTTTTTTTAAGCACCTGCTTTCTCTCCTATTGCCTCATTTGTTCCTGTCTGGTCCCTACAGGTGTGCAACAATGAAGCCACATGCACATGTTACGCTACGTGGGCGGGGACAGACTGCAGCATGCCTGACCCACCCAAAGAGCCTGACATCACCCCAACCGAAGAACCCAAGGGTCGGTTTCTACTGCTGTCAGCCTCTGCTGTCTAAAAATAAGAAAATATAAAATTAATTCAGGGAATTCAGATGAAACCAGATATTTAGAAGTGCCTTATGAAACGACCAAAGTTATTTCTATTTGCTTAATGCCTTGATAATATAAAGAAGTAGGTCGTTGAGAATCTTTAATACCGTCTTCTAATTCAGAAATTGAAATCCAGCGAGACTGACGTCCATCCATCCTACTGGGAGCAGTGTTGTTATCCGTAGTAAAATCAGTCCGTACCAACATGGGCTGAAAGGTTACTCAGCAGTAACATTAAAATTTAATTCACAAATACTTCATTAACCTCAAAATAATTTTATATAGGGGCTTCTTTATCAAGCTGATGTAGATGTTTTTGGTTGAAGGCAGGAAGGATCTTCTGTTGCAGTCTGTTTTACAACAGATCTGGAGAAACTGACTGAAGACGTGTGCCCATAGTGTTAATTTGACATTAAATTCTTCTTTATAAAATCATCTCCAGAAGTTCTAGAGCAGGGGTGCTCAAGTCCAGTTCTTAAGCTACTATCCTGCAACTTTTTCATGCACCTCTTTTTTAACACACCTGGGTTGTTACCATGTTTTTGATGAGCTAAATAAGGGGGTTTAGCCTTTAGATGCATCTGAAGAGATGCATCTAAAGGTCTCAAGTCTCAGGTAGCTCCTGGGACTTGAGACTGGACTTGAGCTCCCCTGTAGCAATAAAAGTTGTGTAAGTCTGACGAATTGACAGATCAGAGCAGGCTTTGTTCATCAGCTCCACAGCAGATTTCAATCAATTGAATTTGAAAAAATAAAACAATATAAAAACATTTTTTTGCATTCAGACAATAGAAATAACTTTGGTAATTATCATAATTGTAACATTACGCTCATGTGATGCCGTATCATGTTACCTTTTATCTGATATTAATGTCTGGTTTCAGCTGGTTTATTTTACTATGGACGGAACTTACTCATTTCATATGATATAATGCAAAATGTGGATTTTTATTCAGATGTGAGGTTATTCAAAGGGATTACAGATGTATTAGGGTTGTAAAAGCTTCTTGTGTAAACTCTAAGTTTATCCAAAATGGTAACATAGAGCTAGAGCTGTTTGCTTTGATTCTGAACAGAAATCCCGACTCAAATTTCAGCCGCATACCGGCTGCTGTGACCAAACTGTGAAGGATGGGAAATGCTTCATCCATGCCTCTGCAGCAGAAGGTTGCGTTCTGTTTTTAACAGGGTGGTAATAATGCTCCTTTTCCTTCTGCACAGTGAGCGTGGCCACTAACAGGCTGATAGGGGCTGTAGCAGGGACCATTCTGGCCCTGGGGGTGATTTTTGGAGGCACAGGGTGGGGAATAGAGTAAGCATCTTTAACCCTTTCACAGCTCTTCCTCCTCATAGTGGTGCCTCAGTGTGCGGGCGGTCTCGTGAGCCGGCCTGAGCCCGTGTGTGCGTCCCGGTGGCTTTGTGTTTCCTCGTGTGTTGGTGATGACCATATTAGTTGTCATGTGATTGATTGTTTTCAGTGTTGTGTGATTGATCAATGGATTCCCCTTATGCTCCTCCTCCTTCTCTCCCGTTGTCCCCCCATTATGACAAACCTCTCTCTTCATCCCCCCCCTCTCTTTTCATCGAGCCTCTCTCTTTTACTCTCAGTCGTTATGTGGTTGCTCCTGTGATCCTCTCCTTTCTGGGGCATGTGGGGCATTTAGATGAAATTGTCCAGTTAGTGGAGGCTGTGTGGTGACTGGGACCCCTTAAATTTTTTGTGCTGCTGATACTGCAGGTCACATATAGTTTGATTTATCAGCTGTCAGTCTTTTTTCAGTGATGGATACGCAGGGTCAAGTCTTCTTCACATCCTTAACAGACAAACAAAAGATAATTATCACCTCTAACGAAAGCAAATAAATGTCAACATATCCAGGATGTTGCTTCGATTACTGGTGCATCTCGAATTAAAATATGAATAAAAAGTTTCAGTATTTAAGTAATTCAGTTCAGAAGGTGGGTTCGGGTCAAGGAGGTGGACAGAATAATGGATGGGGATTTATTAACATGACAAGAATCAAAATGAACACGAGGATTACTAACCAAACATGTGGAAGCCACAAAAAGGAAAATAAAGGAACACAGAAATATGAAAATAATTCATACCGGTAAGTGATTAAAAATAAAAGAAAGCAAACACAAAATTTGGACTAAATTCAAAGTTAAACTGATCATAACAGCAAATGAAAAAGCAAACATTTCTTTTCTCAGAAATTTAGGATGTTACCAAAGCAAATTGAAAATTTTACTTTTACTTGGATTACTAAAAAATAGTATAGTGGCTCACTACCTGCTGGGGCTTTTTTTGAATGAGCAACAGAAGCCCGTTATGGAGCTGATCAGGCTATGGTTCTTCTGATTTTAAGGAGCTCTAACGGCGTCCGTCAGCTCATCTTCATCACTTTCCCTTGAAAAGGCCTCCTTAGGCTTCGCCCTGTGAAGTTTAAGTCTACCTGGTCTTCTGCATATTTGGCACAGCAATACTTATGCGTTTGTTATTTTTGAAAGGTCCCAGTAAGCATCTTCTTTAACCTTTTTAGAGGACACATGAAATACTTCAGAATTTCTTGGCATATGGTTGTACTGGCTTTGGACTGGACCAACACCTCAGGATGTGCTTTCATACTATAACTATAATATCTTTGGACTGGACATCAAATCACCCAGATTCTTTGCCTTCCCAACCTTCACCCAGACTTTGTGAACTTAATTTCAAAATAAAGTGTAAAATATGTCCCTTACCGTTGGACCACTTACTGAAGATTTGAGCTGATATTTAGTTGTTCAAATTCCCTTTTCTTCATATCTGGCATCTCTAGTTAAGAAGTAGAATAACACGTTTGTGTTTTAGCTCTTTAAACAATGACTACCTCTGCAGTCCCTGCATTCCATATCCCCAACAACTCTAGAGTCATCTTATGCCAATTCCTGTTGCTGGTTCACTTCTTTTCTTTACATGTTTTCCATAATCTCAACTGTCCTTGTCCTAATAGGATACAACCATAGTCATAATAATATTTAACCACAGTTTGTCCTTCCACTAAACTTTCCACTACTATCTTTAGATACAAGACTGCCCAGCTGCTTTGCCAGGGATGTTTTGCTGCTTAGCTTTACAGTTGACAAGGTTGTTAGTGCCTGTGTGCCGGACAATTCTCAAGTCAGTCATCTTCATCAGGACTGTGTAGCTAAACTAAAACTAGAAAATATAATTTCTGTATTGAGATTATGTTACATTCAAAATTTCTGAGACTTTTCCTGTGTTTCGGGGGGTGGGGGGAGGCAAACCATAGGTATTGCAAACCATAATTATACAAACTAACAACATTAAGTTAAATCACTGTGTGAGAAAATTTAAGTTCCAATGTTTTTGAATTGAATTACTCAAATTTGTTTACTCTTTCATTGTATTCTAATTCATTGAGATGCACTTGTACATTTAAACTACGTTACACACTAAAGGGGGTTGGAAAGCATGCAAAATACATCCTCAGATTCAATCATTTTTCTGTAATATCACTCTTGGTGTGTTTTTTATGCCATGTGAAATCCTTATTGTGTAGTTACATGTTGCAGATACAGAAACTGTCTTTTTCCCCATAATCCTTCACAGGTCCTAGTGCCACCAATCTAATAATTGGCTCCATCGCTGGAGCCATCCTTGTGGCTGCCATAGTGCTGGGGGGGACTGGATGGGGCTTTAAGTAAGCAACACGCCGCATGCCTCTCCTGTTGTAACTCTAGCATCCCTGCTGCTTCTAGACACCAGGGTTTGAGCTCCTGCTACAGACAATGGTTCTAAAATCAAAGAAAGCATGCAAGATGCATTTGCAAGGAGCGTGTGCTTAAACAAAGTGCAGTGGATGTTATTTATAATGCCTTCAAATATAAGAGTTTATTGCAAAAAGCTCCAGGAGGTCTGTGCATTTGTAGCAGAACCTCAAACTAATTGGACAGGCAAATATCAGTGCTTGATGTGCATGTTCAGTGAGGAAAAACAGCACTTTTAATTATTGAATAAAGTCAAAGATGTAAGTTCCAGTCTAAAGATAATTAACCTGCTGTCTTGAGCAGAAGGGGTGTTACAGACTTTAATCTAACTAGACCAAACAACTAAATTAGAAACAGAGTTCTGCAGCCACGAAAGCATGCAAAATAGCAAAGCATCATGATTATCAGTTTAAGAGAGCACCAGACAAGTGAAAAACAAGATTTAAAAAAAAGTCCAAGCACTCTTTCTGCATGTTGACTTGCTAATTTGGAGGAGGTCAGCTCATTGCACAAAGGCTGAGCCAAACTGCACATCGATCTGGTCTCGACTTTGTCGTCCTCTCATCACTTCCTTGATTTTTCTCCCAACCCGTTACTGCGTTGAGGCTGTGCCTTTTAAATGGAGTGGTGAGAGCGACAGCACAGACACAGAGATACACAAAGAGCGAGAAGCCAGGACCATTTTTGTTGCCTGCAGCCTTTGTGGCATGGCTGGCCACACCCACGTGGATGGCCAGGCTCGGACCCGACCACACCAGCTGCCATTGCTGCCTGCTTCACAGACCTGGTACAGACACGGCGCACTGCACTGCATGAACAACGCACAGCAATAGTGCCACCCTGAGCTGGCTCACTATTGGAAAAAGGTGCATGACAGGATGATAGAAGCCCCACAGCAAGCCACAGTACGGGGAGGTTATGCATTACTCCTGTTGTCGTGCTCAGTGTTGTCCCACCGTTATTTGGTAGTAGTTATTGTTGCTGCTTCTGCCGCTGTCATCCTCGTTATTGTGCTTGTCTCCTCTCTCCCTCCTCCATAGAGTATATTTAATGTTAGTTTCTTCCTCCTAGATGGTTTTGTTTAGAGTGGAACAATGTCTTACCCATCTAAACTGGTAAAGAGTCTCCCACACGGTATTGTGGAAACTGATGTTGCACGAATAAACGGGTCAGTACTTGTCTGCAAAAAAAGAAAATGTAGAACAGAAGATGTTCATATTCAAAAACCATCATAAATTATTTTTACTGTCGCCTTTGAAAGCGAGAGTCAACAACATCTCAGAGAACAACATTTAAACAGTCAGAGATTATGGCTGAGGGTTTAGGATTTAAAGTCTTCAGTGTTTGGTGCATTACAACACAGTGTTTTGAAAAAACTATTCATAAACATTAATAGCTAAAAGGAAAAAAATTACTGGTTTTTACACTTCAAATCTAAAAAATTGGCAAACATTTGAGTCTGAGTCAGACTGGATAGAAAGCAGCTGTACTGCTTCTTCTTTGAGTCATTTTTGGCACTAGTAAACTTTAGTCTCCGTAACCTGGCAGGATAATAATCAGACGATAAAAAGGAAAAATACATGCAGAAAGTCCAAGATTAGGAGTTGAATCTATCAAGGCTCAGAACAGAGGAACCAATAACCAAGGCAGACAGATTTCTCAAAAAGGCATTTTTTTTTAAATGGCGGATCTGCAGTAACATAAAGACGTCTCAGGCAGGAACCTCTGCACGGGGAAAACTTAGCCTAGTGACCAATTTAAACTTACGGAGGATGATAACAAATGTGTGAGTCACTAAACTGGTCTTAAAGTTCTGTCCGTGTCCAGAGGAAGAGGTAGATTCCAGCTGAACAGCTGCCAACATCACGCAGCGAATGCTGCCTAGAGAGTCCCAGACGCTGAAGCCTTGAAGACTGCAGAACTGGAATTAGGACAGATCCAGGCAGACAAAGGAAGGCAGGGCAATTAGAGGGTGAGGCTAAAGCCGGTGTCAAAGAGGTTCACAGAAGATCAGAGATCTGAAGACGCACAGAAGGGAATTCATGTCAGTGTCATGAAGCAGGTCCAGTTTCGGTGAACAGGCAAAATCCACCAGGGGTCCGAAGACAGGTCAGACAAACAGATCAGAACAGGAACAGGCAGGTTCAGAGGTCCAAAGGCAGAACAGGTCAGGATCAGGCAATCAGAACACAATCAGGTGACCTCTCACCAAAGGCACAAATAATCTGTCCCGATGACTGGAAGCAGACATGTTAAATAGACTGGAACAGTTGATCCAGATGAGCTGTGTTGAGAAAGGAAGACTAACTCCAATGTAAACATACATTACAAACATTCGTGTTATTGCAAATTGATTTATAACATCACAATGTAGCTCTGGCTGTGTTTTTAGGGCCTTAATCCTTTAATTATCTCTGTTCAAACTTAACTTGATGGGGAATAGAATACGAGGTATGAATACCATTGGTTTTATGTAAGCCACTGTCCTTCCCTCACCATAAATTGAGACTTCAAGGTTTGGGACTATAAATACTTCTGTCCGCTTGCAGACAAGGCTGACCTGGTCAACATGGACAAGCCTCTCCTGACTTCTATTCTGTAACAGTGCTTGCTGGGAACACTTTCATTCATCACTCTTTATCATAACGTACCAAAATCCTCTTTTCAATTTAACATCTGCAGCACTGTAAGCTGCAGAGTCCAGTGAGGCTGCATGTCCACGTTGCACTAAATGTGTTGCAGAAATGCTTGTAGATGTCACTGACTGCTGTTCTTTTTTATCTCCATATAAGAAATGTGAAGAAGCGGCGTTACGACCCCAATGCCCAGGCCATTTAACTCGAGGAGAGGTGGCTGTTGTGGACGGACTCCTCCGAGACTTCCTAGGTTGGCTACTTGACAGCTGGACTGCACTTACTGCTGCTGACTTTTTTGGCATTAGATTTACTTGAAAAAGACATAGTGGACATTTAAGAAAAATAAATAAATCTCATTGTAGTGACATAAAAAAAAACGCAGCCTTTTTAACTCCACATGTACCTCCCTTCCCTTTTTCCTTTTAGTGCCAGTGCACAGGCGTTCAGGTGGAATCCACATCTTCTCACCTTGCATGATGTTACTACACACAAGGTGTGCTGCTTGCTGGCCCTCCTTGGCATGAAAAGCCCTCTCTTTAGGGCTCGGCATGGCTAACAAAGCTATTCATATGGCGCATAGAAAAACATACAAAGACAAAAAAAGGACTTATTTTTTGCAGGAGAAAGCCTGGTTAAAAACCAAATGCTGGAAAAAAACAGTTTAAACTTAATTTCCTGTTTAAGGTTCTGCATGTGAGGACAATGCAGACCAATAAAGGAACAGGCCCACATGAAAATGCACACTGATAGGGAGGTGGTATTACTAATCAACTGCTTGTTTCATGATGACCTTAGCTGCTTTATTTTTTTTTTTTTATCTTGGCATCTTTTTACAGCAGACATAACTAAACAAAAACAGAAGACAGGCTTGTTTGATTTGGGTCAGACGGAGGAGAAACATGTCAGATTTAGAGGGATCCAGACTACAGTCTCCTCTAGCAAGATCTCCCCCCCAATGAAAATTTGCTAACGGTGACTCAGAAGCCAAAGAATTAATCACCTGAACAGATGGATGTTGTTGCGCACAGAGCACTTTCCCTCCCCCTCTGTCTGCAGCCAGTGGTGCCTCCCCCGCCCCCACTGGTAAGGGCATGAAGTCCGTCCATGCAGCAGGCCTTTGCCTTTCCAGCCAGGTCATCATCAGCACCCACCTTACTGGCATTAGTCCCTTTTGCTCTCATAAACTCCTGAGTAGGAATCAAGTTTGGCTCTTCTAAAGAAGCTGCATGCATGCAATCACTGTAGTGGGCTTATAAATCTATATGGGAGTCCCCTAAAAAAAAAATTCTGCAAGAAAAATATGCTACAAGAGATAGGAGCATGTCAACAACCTGAACATTTAACTTTTATTTACTATGCAAAGAGAGATATTGCACAAAGAGTATGGGTAATAGAGACATCAATGTAGACTTGGAATTGCATAAAAAAGCGGATTACTTTTTTCTATTTGGCCTCTGAAACATCTTGTTTCGTTTGCTTTAAACAGGGTGAGCAAAAACAAAATATTAAAAACAACTTTTAAAAATATCAAAGTCCATATTTCTAGCATAAAGCGAGAGAGCACCCTTTTACATTTGTGAAAATGTAAGTCATTTCTTATGTGTGTGTGTGTGTTTTTTTTTCCAAAACCGTTTTCATTTTTGAACCACCCACTCACAGACAAGCAGACTGCATGGAGCCTGTGCGTAACGAGGCCCGAACAGTTTCATCATGCAGGACCATCATGGTTTTAAGAACAGCTGATTGTTGGTGTGTTCCGGGTGCTTTCAGAAGCACCGGCATTATTGTGACCCTTCTATGTTACTCATCGTCTTGTGTCCCTCTCTCACTGCATCATGTACAGTTGGATCCATTAATAAACTACTGACAAATTTTAACTGAGCTGTTGTTTTTTGTGTGTGTATGTGGCTGATGTTGACATAAAAATTTGCAAACATCTGTTTCAGTGTAATTTATCCAGAGGTGGCAAGTAACTAAGTACAAATACTTCATTACAGTACTTAAGTACACTTTTTACGTATCTATGCTTTACTTCATTAATTATTTTTCTTCCTGCTTCTGACTTCTACTTATTACATTTTCTCACAAGTATCTGTACTTTTTATTCCTTACATTTGTAAAACAAAAACGTTAATCGTTACTCTTGTCTTCAGTTTAGTGTTTATAAATAATTATTTCACGTCACGTGCGCCATCCACATCTAGTGAAAACTAGTGTAATTGGATGAGTCCTATAACGCAAACACTCATTGGTTAGCTAAAGGTAATCATCAGAAGCAAGCAGGTGTTCTAACTGCAAATGCGAATTGTCTATGCCATGCTACGAGGTTGGATTCAGAAAAAGATGTTGAAATGTCTCAAAGGTCGGACACAGGCGAGAATGTATTGGGAGATGGAGACCAATAAGACCTCCCTCATCCTTGGTCCTATCTCTAAGAATTTTTTCGAAATAGTCGAAAAGTTTAGCTTTCGGTTCATATAGGCACATCTGGCTGTTTTTTTTAAAGGTTACTTTGTACTTTTATACTTTAAGTAGTTTTTGGAGCACATACCTTTTCACTTTTACTTAAGTAAAGAGGTCAAGTTGATACTTTGACTTTTACCAGAGTGTTTTTAAACTGCAGTATCTGTACTTCTACTTAAGTAAAAAATGCGTGTACTTTTGACACCACTGAATTTATCTATATGTTAACTGGTGAAAGAGACGTTTTAGGACCGCTTTGTAAAGTTTTATTTTATATTAGTTATTTTCTAACATATTTACAATATTTGTTTTCTGATCATTTGATAGTGTTAAAAATAATGTTTTTTTTTTCTTACATAAAATATTAATAAAGAAGCTTTTAAAATCCATTCCGATATGGTTGCATGTCAATTTTTTTCTTGATAACTCTGGATAAGATGCTTTGCTCATTAAAAGCGGCTGCCACAGGGTAAACTAACTCAGCTACCGAACCGGTTTAAGCTGTTGGAATTAGCATAAATTAACACTGTAAATACTCAAAGTTGTTTTTTTTTTTTTTTTTTTTTTTTATACATTTTCTAAGTTAAGAAATCTATTTAAGTTAATAAATCAAATCACTGCTTGGTACCACATATTATAAATTAAAATAGCTAATAGTCTACTGATCTAACGTATGCATTCAATTCTTAGCAAAATGTTTTGGTAAAATCTGTGACCCAAATTAAATAGTTTATGAATTTACAATAAAACCATCAATATACAACCTCTGTAAGCATTACTGATACATTAATACATACTAATTTTGTTTTAAGCTTCTGAACCAATGTAGCATTAGTCTTTATAACCTTTTCAACAATCAAACGGAGTCAAATCTATAAAGAAAAATTAACATCATTTACTAAAAGGCATCACCAGTTGGAACTTTAACAAGTTTTATAAGTTTGTTGGGCTACAGACATTTTTAATTGAAAAAGCTTCCTGGATGGGTAGTAAAACGTCTTCAAACTTGGAAAAAAGGTCCAGTGGTTTGTTTGTTAACTTTTTTTTTTTACTTTTTTGGAATGACTATGACAGGTTTTAAAGGTATTTTTAGAATCAGTGTAGAATTGGTTCCTGGTTGTTGGACTGCACTGCATTTCTAAAATATAAATATGAAGTTGAAAATGCATTTAAAGCTGTGGTTTACTGCTCAAAGTTTCTCTTTGGAAGCGACTTTCATGCTGCCTTAAAGTTTGTTCTGACAAACAGCCCTGATCCTAATCAGATTAAATAACTGCATCCACTTTAACTATAAGGTTTGTGGTGATATTCTCTGAGTCAGGGAACTTATATCCACATGCAGAGTCTAAGCTGTGCAACTAAAAACAATATTTTGTCTCACTTTCAACAAATTCTGAAAATTGAGACCTATTTAATGTTCTGTCTTCTTTCATTATATATTTTAGAATGGTGCAGTATGGAGCCCCCTCTTTTTTTGGAGCACGCCACAACTGTAATCTGCAGACCAGCAAAATGTGACACCCAATAGAAGAACGGAATAAATAGAAAAAAGAGGCAGTAAAGCTGAGCCTTAAGGAAAACCAAATCAGAGGGGAGTAAAGGGAGCTTCACATCCCCCACTCCTGTAACTCAATGAAAATATACTCATTAATAAAACATGGGTTTAAGGCTTTCCTGTCTAAAGACAACTAAATTTAAAACATTTATCTTAACTCAGTAAGAAAATACTCATTATTTATCTATTTGTAATAATTTTCCAGCAGAAATTACTCCTTTGTTTCTTCAGTTTTTAAACCCAATATTGTAATCACCCAAATAATATAATGGATTTCATACCTCATAATGATTGTGTGAATTATTTTAAAAATAGAACAACAACAAAAATCAATAATAATGATAATGAAGACAATAGCTAATGAATCTAGAATACAACTGGGATTAATGGTCAGTTTGATACTTAAGAATCTTCAGTCTGCTTAAGCTGCAACTAAAGAAATGTTAAAAACATGCAGAGTCAGGATGAGCAGATCGTATTTAATTATTGCCATTTAGTGTCACAGGACTTAGTTATTCGATATGGGATGAGGACAATAACCTGTTTATGCTCTAAATACAAAAACTCCTGGCTCCCTGCTGGGAGATCTTCAATAATAACACAACATTTCAATGTTGTGTTATTATTACATGAAAGACATGTAAATCTGAAAAAAAAAAAAAACTCAATCACTGCATTTATTATTATTTAATGTTCTCATATCTTGCATCAGTTAAACATATAAGGATTTACTATTCAGGAGAATAGTTAACTAGCTGCTGTCAGTGATGTTATTTTAGATACCTCCTAAATAAATAATATTTTATGGTTACAGAATATAAAGATTAAACTATAATATTAAGGAACATTTTTTAACCTTTTCAAAGCTTTAAGAAATCTGGGCTGTTGGCCAGTTACTGGTCTATTGCATGGAGTGGATGGAATAATAAAAAAAGGAATACATACTAATTCTTCACCTTTTCCCCAAACCAGCAGCTAGTTGAGGATTGGTGGCCTAGTGGTTAGGGCAGAGCTTGGAATCCTGAGGTTCTGAGTTCAAACCCCACTCCCAAAGATTGCCACTCTGGGTCTCTGAGCAAAGACCCTAAACCCCACACTGCTCCTCGGTGTGCCCCACGATGGTAGCCCACTGCTCCCGAAGGGATGGATTAAATGCAGAGATTTCTCCATTGTAAGATCAATAAAGTTCAATTATTATCATTATCTGAAAGTTGGTAGTTTCCACTCAATAGTGGAAATTGTTTTGGTATGGATAATGCTGGCTAATATTAGGCTTTTAGGACTTACTTTTCAAAGCTCCACAGGCATTCCTAATACAAAATTGGAGACTATTATTTTAAGACAGGTTCTTGGCACAAAATTAATCAAATAGCCAATAAATGACCCTTGTTTTCAAGAAGAAGGTTAAAAGCTCAGCCAGAACTTAGCCAGAACGATCCCTGCAAAAAGGTTTGTGGTATAAATGAATTTTCTGAGAGAACTCTGAGCAAATATAACTGGGTTATATGAATATATTGGGGGAAAAAAAAATTTAATCAAAAACAGACTCAGAAGAACAAATACAGAATCATATTAAACCCATGCATATAGTTATTTTTTAACCAATGCACCTTTTTGTCATATATCCCTCCATAAAAAAATATCACAAAATCATCCACATTCATATCCCTGATCACCTTTTTTTTTTTTTTCAATTTTCCATCTTAGTGTGACGGATGGTTTCAGCTTCTGATAATTTTATATAAAAAATGTTTAATTTTTTTTTCCTATGTAATTGGCATGGAAATAGTCCAATGAGAATGATTAAAAAAAGTACCGAAAATAAGGTTCTTGTTGCTTCCTTTATGCTTTTTAACATCATGTTTGTTTTTTCTGCATAATATGTCCCTGGTTTAAAAGTTCTAATTCATCCTTAGCAGTGGAAATGTTGTGAAGCCAACTTCTATGCATCATCAGAGGAATTGAATGAATGAGTAAGACATCCATTCAGTACATTTACTGTCGGCCCCTCACTGTGACAATAATTACATTGGAGATGAGGTATGCATGTGACATTTCAGTAAAAGCATATAAAACCAAATCTACCACTTTCTGAACACTATTTTGAAAATAGTTTGTTTTACAGACGGCAGGGCAGAGCAATTTATAAGGTTAGACTACTTATGTTTTCTGCAGATGCCTTGGTTTCTTGGTTTACGTTAAGCAAAATCTTGCTGTAAGGCTCTTAATAAACAAAGTGCCAATTACAAAGGCATGGTTTTTATAATGGGAGGCAGACAATGGCTAAATATGGTTTAATTAAAGTCAACTTTTACAAATTTGGGATGTTGATAATCCCATTGTTTATAATCCCAGGGATGGGTTTATTGTCACATATCCATCAATCCAACCAGACAATTTAGAGCTATCTAGACTGCAGTTTATATTTCCATGTTTTTTTTATAGGTGATCTTTTTTTTGTCTTCCATAAACGTTTTAATGTTTGAAAAAAATCTATGGCAGACAAAACTACTTATTAAAGTAAAAACAATAATAACACAAGAAGCTGCTTTTTGCAGAGGAGGGAGTTAGTGACGTCATTTAAGACTAATACAGGTATTTGTCAAACTCCCATTAACGCCAAAGCCCAGGCTGTTAAGCCAGCAGAGGTGGTAAGTACTTTTTTATTGGAAAAAAAAATGGTTGGTTTGCTTTAGAAATTGTATTTTATGGCACATTATTAAAAAAGAAGAAGAACAAGCGCTGTTTTTAGCTTTAAAATTTATTATTAATAATTTTCATTCATAGATTTTATTTATTTTTAATTTTTTACTTCTTTCTAACTTATTTCTACAGAAAAAAAAAATAAAAT